CATTGTCAGTCTCATAATTGGTCTCTTTGGTCTCGTTGGCATGCTAGGCGTGCTCGTTGGACCCTTCGCAGGACGTCTCATCGATAGGCTGGTTCCTTGGTATGCAACTTTGGTAGCCACTGGCGTGCTCCTGGTTTCCCAAGCTGTGCAGACTGCGGCAGGTGGAATCAATGTTGCAGCTGTCATTATCGCATGCTTCGGGCTCGATGTTGGGCGCCAGTCCCAGCAAGTGTCCATGACCGCTCGGGTCCTGAGGTCAATATATTGGGTTTTCCGTGAAGGAAACTGCTGTTGACTTACAGTAATCGTACCACAGCATATCTCCCGCAGCTGGTGCGCGCTTAAACGCGATCCTCATTCTATCAGTGAGTTCCGCAGTGAACTATCAATCGGAGTGTTGTTAAGCAAGACGTCATAGGTGTTCATCGGGCAGGTGATGGGCACGTCTGTTGGCACCCAAGTTTTCGTGCAACACGGATGGAGAGCATGTTCAATATTGATGCTGGCACTGCATGCCTTCGAAATTCTAGTTTTATTGCTTCGCGGTCCACATTGTTCTCGAAAACGTTGGTTTGGCTATGAAGGGGGATTCGAGGCGCGTCGACGTGTTATCTTGGAGAGGGAGAAACCACCGAGTGGCGAGGGGAAAACGGTGGATCATGATCCAGAGGCGCAGAAGGAGGCACCGATACAAAGTGGTGAAGGCCTGCAGTCCGATCCATCGTAGCTACCGAAGTAGAGGACGGGGCGTAGTTATCGTCACTGGACATTTTTAGCATAGACAATTGGATTGGTGTTTTTTTGAGACTGGCTTACAGTTGCAAATGCCCGTCAAAGCTGGATGTGATGTTGAATTCCCCGTAGATGCTTCATGCGTGCGTCGCGGGATATTCCCCAGGTGGACTACCAATCAGAGGGAAAAGCGCAATCGCTGGAGCCGATTTGGAGGCGTCAAAGTGCAACATGAGGCAAGTCGGGATTTCGTACAAATACTTATCATCGCGGAGCCAAAAAAAAACCAGTAGTTCCGAGCTTTGTACAGTTGTGTACAAGAATGGATAAAAGAGCACTAGAATCATTGCAGAGATGCCAAGGCCCGTCTAGCATACTCCACATAGTACTAGTTTGTGGGGCAGGACTTCCTTGCGGCAGAAGAAACCCGATTTAACGGATAAAGGCTTCTCGCGTACCACGCCAATAATTGGCAAGGGTGACTGCATTGAGCGCCATCATTGAGTGCACAATAATGATTACGCCGCACTTACTGCGGGTGCCTGCATTTCTGGAAACTTCTCGTGTTTCAAATCATAAAGAAGAATACATTGTGGCTGGAGGCACCTTAATTTAAATAAAGATACATTACCTGGATTGTTGCAGTTTCCGTGGCAGACAGTGTTCCAAGGGTGCACAGAAAGGGAGATCGGGACAAGGAGCAAAACGATGTATACGTGTGTTCGAGAGAGAAAAGGGGAAGGAAGCCAGTGAACCCTGCATGCATGCAGGTTATTATGCCGAGAGATGATCAAGCACAATGCACTTCATGCTTGGATGCAATGGCCGCTGAAAATAATTTTATCGACGGAATATTCGATGGTAAATTCCGATTGCAATTTTTGCTTACTTCCTCCACCATCAATGGAACTTAAGTTGGTTATATGCGCATTCGATCAAGAGAACACACCTTCTGAGAAAGCACACAACAAGGGTGCGAACTTGTGTGCACACTACACACGGTCGACCACACATTGCATGGTCAAGCACGTAAGTTATTGGTTTGGGGTCGCAACATTCGATACTAAAGTAGCAAATCCCTGGAAATATAATTAGGCACGTCAATTTAATGAAACTTAAATCTTCCTCAATGGACAGCCTGTATTAACGGTCTAAGACCTCCAATCGGCGGTCAACTTGTAAATTTGTGGCTTACCTTATCTCGAGCTTGCCAACTTGCCAAGAGCTTGTTTTAAGTTTCCTACTATTAGTTCTGAGTCACGTTTGAAAGTTTTTCGTGGAGTTAAGTGGTCTAGGTCGTGTCAGTGTATTATAGGTTCACTTTATCTCGGAACCAGCTTTACCAAAGTTCTAATCTCCAGCCAGACTTTCATAGACGAAGGAAGAGTTTCAATCCCTGACTTTTAAAATTGTGACATTATGTAAGATGTGGATTTGTCAGCCAGCAAATCTGTCTTGGAGGGACAACGTACACGTAATGCATTCCTTATACATTGCACTGGGCCACTCTCTGACATGTCCGGCCAAACAGAAAGTGAAGGTGAATCTTTAGGGTCTCTTTCATAGGAAGCAGGATCTCATCTGATGAGTTTTAGTGAAACCGAGCGCGGTTCTCCGTATCACTCCCATAGACGCGGATGCTACCTTGGAGCTCCGCCAGTCCGTTTTGTGGCCCAGTCTTTCGATTGCAGATGTTCTTCTCGCTGAAGATGGCAATGGTCTCCATTTTGGAGCTTTCGTACCACATCATGGAAAGCCCATTGCCGTCATCTCGTTATTTGACGAACCCTTACCGGAACAACACCTTGTAAGATGTGGGAATGATAGCCCTTCTCAGACAAAGGCTGCGCGCTTTCGTAAATTTGCCTGCGATCTGATGCACCAGAATCAAGGCATAGGGACCCAGTTGCTTCAACATGCGGCTGAAGCAGCTCGATCGACGCTAGGTGCAAGCATCATTTGGTGTGATGCCCGGACATCGAGTAGTGCCTGGTATAAGAAACGTGGAATGATCGAATTTGGTGATCCGTTCTACAAGGGAGATGTGCAGTATATTCGGATGAAGATGTCCTTGGACGCAGATACTTGCAAGACCAGTGCGTATAACGCCATTTAGATGTACCATAGCGCCGGGACGTGACTAAATGATAAGCGTAATTTGGTACGCCGTGTTCTCCGCATCGATATACAGGTGATGAGCTCACGGTAATAACATTGTCAGAATGCTGTCCGCGAGAACTGTCATACAGCATATTGCGTTTATTGTATGCGTTATGTATCTTTGTCTTTTCATGACGAACAGAGGCACAGCATTGACGCAAGTTTCCATTTGCATGATCATCCCGTATACCGGATCAAGCTTGATCTTCTGGCTAGTTCCGCCGTGTAATGTTTGGAAGATGCTTACCTCATTTTGCTTACTCACCCGATGACTTCGACAGCAGGAAAGATACTGAACAACCGCTTCTATAGGCTTCTGTGCGTCAGAATTTTTTTCCTAGGGGGAAGCGACCTGACGGACTATTGAGTTTTCATAGACAAAGCGAATGACGTTGGAGAGCCACCCCAACTATCAGGTATGCTACTCCTGTAATTCGCGCGGGCTCACTGCCAGGGGTCAGCACTGTGATGGTGTTCGGCATGCCTGACCATTTTCGGCACGACCCTGGAGATTCTAGCTCTGAAGGTGCTGCATTCGGCGAGGAACGTGTTCAACCCAAGTAAGTATTCGCCGTTGCCATGAGGTGTCCGATCGACTATCTCATACAAGACCGCAGCTAAGCTGATCTAAGCATGCAATTGCGGCAATCCAGGGCCACTCATAGTCTCATACAATGTCGGTGTGTGACTTTCGTAAAGAAGGATCGACCATTCGTCGTCTATACACCGGGCCAGCCACGGAGAGACTAGTGCTGGGTTGGTAGTTCGGATCAAAATACACAAAAGAGAACTAGTGTCAGCAGTTTCCCTGAGTTTTTTTTTTTGCCTAATGACGATGTGTGGCTTTTGTATTCGCGATAAACGGGTTGTCAGTGTGGCTTTCGGCTGTGCCGCTAAGGGACGGCACTTCCTCTTAATATCACAAACTCAGATTGTTGACGGGCTGATATCTGTCCTGCCGTTCGTTTTCCTTATGCGTCAGTGCAATCTCGATCTTTCCGACAGAGCGTCAGAGTGTCAGCTGATAATTGTGTCTTGTGTAAAGTAATTGTTCGTGACGATGGGAGCAACGCAAGTTCGGATAGACACTGCGCCCACGAGATATCAGGCTATCATATTTTGGCATATATAAGAACTTCTGATGCAGGGGTAACGCTAATTCATCCCCCATTTCTTACCTTGGCAATTGGTGCTTACTACGAGTGCGACGGTTTGCCGTGCCCCTCCGATTCTATTGTGTTCTATGAGTCCAAATCTTATGGGTGTCATCTTCGTTCAAATTTGTCACGCCTGGATTTGGTTCATAGCCAATACAGTAGACCGGAGGTCACGCCCTCTCTTGCATTTCATGTTCACCAATCGTTCTCATTTTTTTCCTGGTCTACTGCTGCTATACATGACCGAACGCGCACACACGCAACCTTGCTCAACCCATTGACAACTTGACACGAATGTTTTTTGATCATCCCTCTTCATTTTCTAACAAACGCTGACGCCGCCAAGTGATCCTCGGAGCACACATACATGTCTTAATCATATCTCCGAGCCTTTAGGCTTCCACCCCATATTCCCAATAGGGACATCCTCAAGCTATACCATTCGATACTATAGACCTCGGATGACCTCGGCTCGTCACGGATCATTGGTATCCATTATTCTGTCATGAGATCCAGATGAGGAGCACAGAAGCTCAGGGAGCCCCAATGTACGGCGCCTCGGCGCCTCTTGACGTATCCAGCCATTTTCTCCGATTCTTCTGTGATTGGAGTTTTCGGTGCGATCTCCGTTACCAGATAGCTTGTAGATTCAAGAGCTTTCCAGTGATATTCCATTCTCTTGGAAGAGCTGTTCACTGCATCAGATCTTCTGATCGTTTCCTTCCTCGCACGAACTTTATCCACGAGGAGCGGTAGTTTCAACGAGCTATAGATATATGCAAGGACATCTCATGATGATCCGACCGCCGCGGCCGAGACTAAGAGTGGGGGGGTACGACGCTGGGGAGGTTATTTGAAATACAAGGCTACGGGAATTCAAGAAGATCAACAGTTCCGAGTTCTTGGAGGTTCTTGTGCGTCATTAAGGGGGGGGGGGGGGGCAGTCCGCAGTAAGTATTATCGGGCGTGCAGTATGTAATATTGATGCTGTACGCTGATACTGCCCAAAGTCCAAAGTCCGAAGGCTGTTCCAAGGGCGACATCGAAATAGAAGAAGATGTGATTATCATGACGTCGCTATGGATCGGCGACACTTCACACCCATCACGGGAAAATGGCGAGATATCGATCATATCGAGGATGATAGTATCATCCCTGCACAACTCGGAATGAACCGACAGGTCAGCGTGACCCACGAGGCTGGCCATGGGGAGAACAGTAACGGCATTTCCACTAACCTCACAAGTCGGTCCGAGCGCACCCGTCTCATGAGTACTGGAAACACAAAATCAAGTAACGGATGGCATTTACAGCGAAAAAATACAAGGATCAACACCAGTAACCACGTGCGGGGTACCCGGGTATGTCCATCGATGTCATTTCAAAAGCTCTTCTACAATCCTATCTTCCGAAATATTGGCGACATTCGCGCCACGGTAGTTCAATCTCCGAAGAACGTCGATCTGGGTCAGCCCCATCAGCAGTGTCGTGAATATAAAAAATAGCTCTTCTGAGACGTACGACTTTTGAGCGCTCAAAACCGAGACTCTCGAACTGATCTACATGGGCTCTTTCAAGACCCGCTATTGCGATCTCATCTCTCTGTGGCTCTTTCACTTCCATCTTCTTGACCAAAGGCCCTCCGGCATATATCTGTGTCCAGTATCTTGCCGTCTCATCGAAGCTTCCCTTGCTGGTGGTGTAGTGCTTCGCAACCTCCGCATCTTGCGGATCATTAGGCTCGGGAGAACACAGCAGCGATTGAAGTGAGATCAGTGTTGATTTGAGCGTTAGAACAGGCGACCACGCGTCCTTGAGGATGTCGAGACAGATAGCTCCGGACGCTGATGATATGTTTGGATGATACACTTTCGTGATGAATTTCATCTTGACAGGTTGGAATGGATACGAGTCGGGGATGACAATATCCTATCATCCGGATTAAGATTCTGATTATGCTAGACAAGGTATCAACAATGCGCACCACTTCAAAGTGGCCACCTTCGTATGGCGTGTCCTGAGGACCGGGGAAAGATCCTTTCAGATGAAATGGCGATGAATCTATTAGGTCGATTTTGATGTTTGAGGATTTGTCGTTCTTGCAGTCTGACCAGGGGTGAGAGTGAGCGATGCTACAGTAATAACAATTAATTCCTACCAGCGATTTCTTTATTCACGCGGCGGAGACGAGCGTCCATGATGTACAAACAAGAAGACTATTAAGCTTAGGGCTACGTACAAGACAGACGGTGAAATGGAATGACAAAACGGGGCTGTAATTGGGCTACAATGCCTCATGTAAGGGTCATGTGACTTTATTGGGTTTTTCAAAAATTATCTTTCAGCGACCCTCTCCCAAGGGGGTCTGTTGCCGTGACGTGTTGATCCAGGATAGATAATCTCTTAAGCATCTCGTATATGCAGGTATTATAGTCTGAAACCCTTTGATCAAGATGGAAGCCCCTACCATGCGCCAGCGTTTCGAAGAGTACATCTTCGGTCTCCAAGAGGAGATCATCACTTCCTTTGAAACCCTCGATCCCAATGCTCCAAAATTCAAACGTGACTCTTGGCAACGAGCACATCAAGGAGGCAAGGGTGTATCGGGCGTCTTCTTTGTTCCCCCTTCCGAAGATGGATCACCTGGCCCACAAACAATCCTGGAGAAGGCTGGCGTTAACATATCTGTCGTACACGGCATGCTCCCCCCTGCTGCAATCAAAGAAATGCGTGCAGATCACTCTTCTATCCCCTACGACGGGAAAACTAGTCTTCCGTTTTTTGCGGCTGGAATAAGTCTCGTCGTGCATCCTCGCAATCCCCATGCTCCCACTGTGCATGCCAATTACCGCTATTTCGAGATTTCGGAGAAAGCCGCAGAGGATGAGGGTACTAGCAAGGTTGTTGCATGGTGGTTTGGAGGAGGCTCTGATCTCACGCCATCGTATCTCTACGATGAAGATGCACGTCACTTCCATACGACGTTGCAGAAGGCCTGCAACCAACATGGTAGCGAACTATACCCTGTGTTCAAGAAGTGGTGTGACGAATATTTCTATATCGTCCACCGTCAAGAAACCAGAGGGGTCGGAGGACTCTTCTTTGACGATCTCAGCACTGAGAAGCATGCTCGGCTCTCAGAGGATATCAAACGACCTCGATCGTCAGAGGAGATATTCGACTTCATAAAAGCAGTGGGAAATTCATTTGTCCCCTCCTACTTGCCCATTCTTGAGCGTAGGATGTCGATGCCCAGCACCGACCAACAAAGACGCTGGCAGCTGATACGCAGGGGGCGTTATGTCGAATTCAACCTCGTGTACGACAGAGGTACCAAGTTTGGGTTGAAAACGCCTTCTGCGCGTATTGAAAGCATCTTGATGAGCCTTCCGGAGACTGCAAGGTGGGAGTATATGACGGACATGGGATCAGATTTAGAGAGTGAGGAAGGGCGGTTGATTGCAGTTTTGAAACAGCCCGTCGATTGGGCTGGTTTGGAGAACTTGTAGCGATGATTTTTCAGCCGCTGGGTTTGTACGTTACTCGTGAGGAAAATTTATAGCTATCTTCACATCGATAGACCAGAATTTCAAAAATTCACAGAGCCGTTTTTGTTTATTGTTGGAGTGACACCAAACAGAGGCGCTAGCTACTTTTGTAAGACGTACGTCAACCCGACTTGTGGGACTTGCCCGAGGCGGTACGGGTGTGGCCTTGGAATCGTACTGATCTGCGACCAACTGCACACAGTACCGTACTGCACTACTATTACCAAGTGTCACATGGGTAACCTTCATTGTCGAGCGAAGAAGCCCTCGCAGAACTTGTGCACATGGCAACATACTACCGTCTCGCAAGATGATTTATGTCGACAATTTGCGTGCACAATCATCGGCGACGGTCGGCAGCCATTGTGATGATACTCCGCAGGTTATGATAATGGCTTACAAAGGTAGCTCGCATGAGCGCCCATACTTGATGTCGCTGTGAATTTTCGAGATTCTGGAGATACTTGTGAATTCGGCGGTTGAAATTGGTACAATGTACAGTCTCTCGTGTCAAGAAACTGATAGGCACTAATATGTAAAAGGGTTCTATTGTATATCCACTCCAAAGTCGATGAGGAAGGGCAATATCTAAGGAGACAGGCTTAGGACTCATGTGGGTTTGTTGATCTCTTGCTGTGTCTGGCCCTTCTCGTTCTTGACGTTCCCTGATAGACAACTTGTCAGACATGTCAGCCACCATCCTGCGCGTGTTACCTACCAGTTGTCTGCTGAGCTTTGTCGCCAGTCACAGCGCCAACGACTGAATCCTTGTAGCCGGCAGCCCTGTCAGAGACACCCTCCACGTATCCCTTGGCTTGGGCGGCGTTGTACTCGCCCTCCCCCTTGGCGTGTTCTTCTTTACCCGACTGCGTCCAAGATTGCATACCGGTCACGTCGCCGATCTAGAGAGAAAAATCAGTATGCCGGCGGCGTGTGGTGCGATGAGCTCGTACTGTCTCGACGGCGGTACCCTTAACAGAGTGGAATTGACCGGATACTTTGCTATAGGAGAATAAGTGAGTTGTTGTCATCGAGAGGGGCGGGCAAAGCGCTTACCTGGGCTCTTGGGAAGACATAATTGTGATGAGAGTAGTTGATTGAGTTAATAAAGCGTTGATGAATAGTAAAGTTGGTTGTGGGTTGCTGGGAGGAAAGATAGCTTGACGTCCTGCCAGTACTTATACTCCTCCGAGATGGCGTACAAAAAAGGCAAGTGTGTATGACGTCGAGCGGTCATGACATCATACGGTTTGTGACTAACCTGAATGTGATTTGCATGTGAATTCAACACTAACGTCATGGCATAATTGCTGGTTTATGCATGGTGCAATCCAGAAAGGTCGATATATAGTAAATTTGAAGGGCGCCGTCGCGCTACGGCTCCCTGAACAGATCAAGTGGAATGGAAGATGGCTGTTATTTTCTATGGAAAGGAAAACTCATGTTCGAACGCACAAGACCTTCAGATTCTGCTTCCGTCATCCAGACGGCGTTCTCACGCGAGGACAAGAAGCCCCACCATGTACTCCAAGTTACAATCACCACCGTGTCCGATTCGATGCCGCTGAGGTGATGGCCATACGTCATCCGTAGAAGTCAGTTTGAGCGCGCGCGATCCACAGAAGCAATAGTACCTTATCAAGAAGTCATAGGACGGCGGCCTGCAATGTAAAATGTTCGAAGATTGGAACATATTTCGGCATTGATTCTGATAGCCCCATTGCTCGCTACCATGAAAAAAACGAGGCCTTGCCAATGGAGTCAGGAAGTGCACACGCACCTTCATTGTGATGGAGAATAATAGGTAGCATAGTCATTCATGGACATGGGTGAAAATGTAGATTGGAACCACTCGGCAAGCCTTTGATGCACCGTCCGAAAGCTTGATGCCAGTGGCTGTAAGATGGAGCGCACCAAAGTGTTGAAAGTAGTAAATCCATTCATGTGGAGCAAGGTAAGTCACAAAATATCCTGGCTACTATAAAGTCCCGGTTATGATAAGATGCTAGAAAGAGCTGTCACATGGGAATCAATCGCAGGTGAACATCGTTTGGCGAACTCACAAACCACGACATAAAACCCATCATTCAAGTTTCTCAAGCTCCTCTAACCTCGATAACACCACATCTTTGCTAGTTTCCTCAATCTCTCCTGCCAAAAATATCTCGTCTAAAATGGCATACACCTGTGATTGTTGTAGGTCAGGAACAATGCGTACGAGGGATAAACACAACCGCACTTTGTAGAAATTGAAGACAAGATCCAGCTCGCACACATTGTCGAAGAATGAGTCTGGATCAATGTCAGCGAGTAGGCTCAGCCCGTGGGGTGCAAACGCATCGCTCACCAAGGATCTCAACAAAGAGGTGGATAGCCTCTAGATATGCCAGCTCATTGTCATTAGCGTCGACACATACGCAAAAGAAGAGACCAGCATAACGCCTGTACACGATCTTGTAATTCTTGAACTACTCCACGTCATGAGAATTAGAAGATGCGTGACATGTCGTTCTGTCCTCACCTCAACAAAGTTCGACTGGTGTTTCTGGTCGCGCGGAGCAACCAGTCTGTGCACTTCACCTCGGAGTCTCACCTGAGCACATAGTCAACGGCATGGAAATTCTCAATAGCGTCTATCGCACCTTCTCGTCGTCGTCGTACGGGACATACCACTTCGACAATCGTGTCTTCCCTTGACGGTTCTGAGCGCATATCATTTGAGCACATGGTCTTTCTGCTGAAGAGTGCACCTGCCTGCACGAGGATGAACCTAATCATGGTGGGCTCATTTGCCTTGAATAAATTCTGGATCTCCCACTTTTGTTTACTTCAGAGGCTTTTGCCAAACAACGCCGCAATAAGTCACGTGGTTTCAACTTGACCACGATCTTTGCAGGTAACTAGAAACACATGTGTAGAAATATAACAAAAGAACTCGAGATGTATGTCGGCGAGGATATTAAAGTATTTGAAATCGTTTAACTTAATGCTGAGACATCTGCGCCAAATAATCCGAAAGCTAAATTGCACAGTAAGCACTAGCCACGTGCAAGGGAATGAACAAGATAGTCACCTTCAGTGCACTGGTTCTAATGTTCTCCCCGACGTTCTGGACGTCAGGATTCGCCATGACCCTTGCCACAATGTCTCTCGCTGCGACTTCGAGATTCGAAAGACTGCCATCGCCCAACATTCCACCATCTGAACTAGTACGCTCGAACTCTTCTTCTTCTTCCCGACCAAAGTATTGGTTAGAGGAAATAGATGTAGCGCCTTGGAAGTTCTGTAAACGAGACTGAGACTCGGAGACGAAATTAGGGTCGTAATCCTTTCGGCCAAAGTACATGTCCGACGAGATAGCTTTTTGATTGCCAAACTTGTCTCGTGCGGTGGTTGGTGCGTCATCAATGGCAGGACTATACAATTAGAAGATAGATCAATTTTGCTGAATGCCCAGTTGAGATCATGATATACCTTGATCGCGCAGTCGATGAAGGTGAAGCGGTGGGAACTGCCCCAAAGCCAAGCTTACGGAAGCCCATGCCCAGCCTCTCAAGGTCTTGGCTATTGCCCTTTTGTAAGTCAACTTTTCCCTGCACAGTGCCCGTCTGCACAGCATCAGCAGGCTTCACCCTCACTTGTGGTGAAACGATCTTTTCTGCTTCTTTCTGTGCGCGCTCTTCCTCCTCCTCACGTTGTCTGTCATAGCCAAGCTGTTTGATACGCTCAGCTTCCTCCGCAGCTTTGCGTTCCGCTTCCGCAAAATCTATCGGGGTGGCTGCTTTCCTCGCCCCAAGGCCACCAAGTTTGGATTTCTTCTGAGAGGTAGAGGTGGCTGATGAACCGATCGCGGAAGTAGATGATGTTAAACGTGTTGCACCGAGCTTAGTGATGCCGTTCGTAGAGGGACTAGAGTTTGATCGCATGGAACTAGATGTGGTTGGGCGAGAAGTAGCTGAGCCCGTTGATGCTGGTCGCCCAATGATAGGAGGAGATGTGATAGCTGAGGAAGAAATTGGTTTTGGAGCGGCGGGCTTTTCCCATGAAGAGAAGAAATCATCCTCTCCTTGCGTAGCTTCAGCGCTCACAAGAGGTGCATCGACACCATCGACTACGATATGCGTAGGGAACCTGAGGGAAACAATAATAATTAGATCAAGTTCCTGTCAAGCGTCTCGACAATTCACTTTGCGATATCTTCCTTCACTCGTCTCGCAAGCTCCTCCTTATATAGCTCAGCAGCACGACTTGAATACTTCTTCTTAGTGTCGGAATCGCTGAGAAGCATCGTGGCCCCATGTCGCGTGAAAAATTCAGTCGCCGATGTGTTTCCACCCACTTTCATGGTACGAAGCTGGTTTAGTTGCCAACTGTCGAGATTCGTCGATCTGTCATGCCGTTCCCGGTGATAAGAACCCGCGGGGCCACCAGTTTTAAGGAACGACCACACACCGTACAAAACTTATGTGTACGCCCATATTCCGATGAATACTAGAGCAGTCTAGGCATATATAAACTCCAAAAGTCACACTGGACCAGGTCGGATTCCGAGCCTGACAATCAAAGCACGTCTGAAACCCCGGAAGTCAACAACTATAACGAGTGGGCTGAAATACACTGACCTTGTTGCCTTTTTGCAATCTCAGCACTTGAAAGATCTGCTCTGATTCCGCCTTTGAAGGGTCTCCCATTGCTGCTGCAAGCAAAATGATCAGTGAGCTTAAGTGTCTGTCGTGGAGAAGTCAAGGCTTTGTGGTGTCGTATCAGGTGTTCTGGGGTCCTCAGCACCAAATATGGTGACTGAGGTCCGCTTGCCTTTCTGGCCCGCCGGCATCAGGTTGAGCCGAAAATGATATACCACAATGGCACCTAGGCTATATGAGCACCCGCTATTTCTTAAATATTTTTCTAATGAAGCCATATGGCTTGCCATTCCACAATATCCAATCCCCCAACTAATTAATCATCATGCTGCTTGTCAGGTGGTGTGGGTAACCATGTGCCACAGTCTTGTTCTCGAGTAGCGATGTGCTTAATCTCAGGAAATGTTGCATGAGAACCCTTCGCAAGGGCACACATATTTTTGCTCAACTGAGAAAAAGACTTAGGGAGAGCTTCTGCATCAAATCAGTGTTGCATGTGCAACAAATGCTTAAATATGAAGAGCAAATCACTGGTGTTCGTCACATAAATGAACATGGAGCAAATCACAATCATAGTCACATGTATAGGACATTTTGACCAAAAGTGAATGAGAGCAGGCTGAATCATCAAAATGAGCACTAGGAAAATTAATGATCACATGACGGAGACTGGGAGATACAGCTGGATACCATTGAGCAGTAGTAAACCGCACTCTCAATACTCCACGATGTTGAAACAACCTCCGGGGTAGAAAGGAGGAGATAACAGAAAGACCATTGTCAGTGATATGCTGATATGTTACAACAACAGGAATGAAAGGTACAGGTTGATGTGGAGAATGCACAGTACATGATGAAGACGAAGCCATGATGTATGAGGTTCATAACAAGAGAAGCCCCTCAACAAAAGAGAAATAGTGACAAGCGCATGAAGGGTCCTTAGTCTATTTGCATTGTCCAAACTTGACTCCGTGAACGACATCAAACAAACAAGTAAGCCAATTCCAATTTCACCCCGTACGACCCACAGATGACACATCAGTTAGAGGAATGAGCATGAGAGCGGAAGCGTGTATTTGTCGGTCGACATGCCAGAGATGGAGATGCATGCGCGTGGCAAGAATCGCCAGGATGATGAGCTGGAAACTGCATTGTGGAGGGGGTTTATTAGTAGGGATGTGTAGCATGGTTTGAGGGACGTACTCTTGAAACATGGCGTTGTACGCGTACTGAGCGTGCGGAAAATCAATGGCTCAGTCTTGAGGATGGGGTGTGGAGAGTGTACTCACTCGAAGGAACAGGGATGTGAATACATTCACTATCGAGAAAACTTTCGGGACAATAATGATCATCGGTGAGCATAGTGAGGATAAAATTGTCTGCGGGATGACTTACATAGACCGCATACATAATAGAATATGTTATGCTTCAGCAGGACATCATACAGAGGGGTACGAGCTGTTCGCCAGCTCTGTATAGCGCGTACGAGCGTAAGAGAGATAAGCCCTTAGGAGAGCATTAGTCAGTGCGCGTCCGTGTATACGCATGCTTCCTGTGACGCACCCAGTTCGAGAGCAAACAAGAGAACAAACGGCACGAAGAGCTCATCACTGCCTGTAGACTGGTAGCAGCCTGTGATGCTCGAGATCGTGCTGGTTTCAACTGTGACATCCAAGCCGACAAGTGTGAGTGATAATAAAACGTCAAAGAGAAGGTGGAGTGCATACATGGTGCATTGGCAGTGGCGCTAAAGAGGATACCGATGGAAGCTATGATGACAGCCTGACTAATATATTTACCATGAGCTTTGGGTGCAGTAGAGTAATGACTCACAAGAAAACCGGCCAGCATGGCGGCGAGCACGACTTTGTTGTGATTCCAGAGTGCATATGTCCTGATAATAAAAAAGCCTGGATGGATGGGATGAGGAACGCACGTGAATCAGGGGAAGGAGTTACATTCGGAGCAAATGACTGAAATCAGACTGAAACCTGTGAAAGGGAATAGGAGCGTTTAGGACGTGCATGCAGGGATCATGCACGTACATGAGCAAATATTGTTGATCATTTGACATTTCTGGTAATGTCATGCAGTGAGCGTCGTTCAGTCAGTAAGCCCACCGCGATATTACGTACATCGGGATTATTATCCGGGACGAAGTTCACTGAAGCACATGTCAATCCATTGATCATTACCGGAACGATCTGTGCTAAAGCTGAACGCACGATATAGGTGTGCAACGAAGAGGAGGAAAGGCGTATAGCGTGTAAGGATATAAAGGCCTTTTACTTTGGTCCAACGCGATTGAGTCAGGAACGCCAACTTGAAACAAGCATGTTATCGCTGAATAACAAAAGAACCTCATCGTAAACAATGGCATTACCTCGTGGTGAAACGAACAAGCATAGTCATAGGTCTGGACAAGCAAGGTCAATAGCAGACGGAATATGAGGACAAACCCACCCAGAATGTAGCCGCCGAAGCTGAGCCGCGTTAGGACAAGAAAGAAGCTGGTTCATATGGTACGCACTGTATATATACTGATTCCATATGATCATATATGTTGTTATCAACGACCATCATATCCACAAGAAAGAGACGTACCGTGTAGGTTTGAATACTCCTCGCCGCTGCGATGTTGCCAGCCGAATACTCCGTTTGCATTCAGACTCGCAGGAGGGGCAGAAAAAGAACTTCTACGCGAGGGCATTTACTTTTGCCTCTTATATAGATGCGTCAGGAACCGAACAAGATAACGGCGTAATGAGTACGCCACTCCGGGCTGAAGCTGGGGGTCTGCCGGTGGAGTGTTCTCATGGGAAACTGCTAAGTATTCACGTTCATGCTGACGTGCTATGCTGCATTTGGAGTTACATAACAGTGAATCACGTGATGATCGATAAAAGGGTTACATTGTTACGACAGAAAGTTAGCAAATCGACACAACTCAACAGATTATCCTGATGCAGTTCCATACCATTTGCAGCCCATGATGGCATTGGATGGTTGGAATTAGATGTCACAGTAGAGGGGCCGTTATATGCGCCTGTAAAGGCCTGGTTGTTTTAATCCGTCAATGGTCAACAGCCATCCTATCACAAGAAGGAGACGCACCGTACAAGTCTGCAGACTGCTCGCCGCTACGACAGTGTCAAGCGAAAGCAGGATTTTACCCACGAGGTACCTCTTACATAAGTGAGTAGAAGCCAAGCAACATGAAGGCGCAATGAGTACGCCATTCCAGGGTGAAACTAGGGTCCTCATGGGCCATAGGAAGCAGATTCTGGAACAAAGTGACGTGAATCCAGTTGGTGGCATGCGGTACCTATACTACATTTGGAGACGATTGTGGGTGCGTCTGTCATACAAGAGTCTTGATGGCTGCGTGCGAACGTTCACCTGCCTGAAAGTGGATGGGACGATATCTCCGCCAAACACTTATTCGATCCGAAGGGTGACAAGCAGAGTGACGGATGACAAAGGGCAACACACTTGGAGAGATTTGAACACATCTCAGATGCGGCATGCCAAGTCAAATATCTGCGATGCATATTACAATCAAGGAACTCAGTGAGTAAAATTCCACGGTATAGGGGCCATATATATGCGCCCGTAGAGGTCTTATTATTTCTTATGCAAGTTCAAGGTATCTTTCGACTGTAAGGCCCGATTAATGCATGAAGTGAAAAGATAGTTTATCATCGCCTACCTTCCCAATTTGTCACTGCCGCATTCCAGAGTCTCACCTCATGCTCCCTGGTTGCTCCGAAGTGGTCCACAAAATCATATCCGAATACTTCACGGGCAATGCTGTCAGGCTTCATCATAGCCTTGGTCGCATCTTCCAACGAACTAGGAAGTAAGATGACCTAGTCGTAAATAGTTAGAGTTATGATACTGCAAGATCATTTTCTAACTCACCTCCTTCCTGGCTGGGTAGCTTTGGTAAGTAGAGATGGGGGGCGTCGTGAGCTTCAGTTGTTTGGTAATGCCCCGCATGCCCAGTTGGAAGATGGCACTCAAGGCAAAGTAGGGATTCATATCGGCACCAGGTACACGGACTTCAAGTCTTGTTGCGGATGGTGGAACAGACGGTGGCGAGATGATACGAATGGAAGCTGCACGAGAATCGTACCCATATGTAACCGCGTTAGGAGCCCAGAAGGCTTCACCACCAACGAGACGTTTATAGCCATTGATCGTTGGGACAAGCTCCCAAGTTTTTAGATAAAAATCACATTGGTGGGAGTCGGGTACTCACCATAGGCATCACTGCATCATCAGTTTAGCATCAACATACACCTTAACCGAACAAAAAAATAAATCCTACCATCAGGAAGGCCGTCCAATACACCTGCCAGAAAGTGCTCCCCAAGTTGACTTAGGTATCTTGTGTCCTCGAATGCTGCATTAGCTCGTCCATGATCACGGTCCGCCTCTGAAAGTGAGAACGCGTTGCGGCCTTCTCTGTCTTTAAGTGATACATGCACATGTCTGAGCTGATGTCAGAAAAGTTTTGGACGCAAAATGAGATATCGATACAAACCCGCTGCAGCCAGGTAGCTGAAGCAACGTTTCCGTGAGATTGTAAAAAATTCTACTAGGATTTGACTCACATTTCCCCATGGTTTCGCCATAAAACTAGGGAGGACTCCATGCTTCAGCCCAACACTCTTCGCCAAGAACTTGTAAAGGATAGCATTGTCCGCTATTCTCATAGCCGATGTATAAGCGAGCGCAGTCTCGAGGACACCTGGACCCGTTTCGGTGTCTGCACAGGAGTCAGTTGTCATCACTGTTATAATGGATAAATCATCATACGATGTCCTTCAATATCTATGCCAAACTTTAGACTTTCATCGAACAGTGCATGAAAATATTCTTGGTTCAATTGAGTGCGCAATAAGCTATATCCATGCACTGCGGTACTCTAATCAGCGAATGTGCAGCGAACAGTTACTTTGCTCACTTCCTGGGGTTAATGGCTGCAGCCGGGTGAAGCCCTTTTGAGCCACGGACTCGGGGGTTTCTGAATAAATCCCTTTGAATCACATCCGGTAGACGAGAAATTTCATGAACGCACCTTTGAAATTAAAGTACTAGAAAGCCTCATGAGTCCATTCAGAGCAACGCATAAGTGGCTGAGATTGCTCACCTCAAACTCCACGCCAGAGATGCATTCCAAATCATGAGCAGCCGCATTGTCGACAACTTTACGCAGAACGCCTCTAGGATCCGCGCAAATAGGCGCTGAAGTCTTCGGATCAAAGAATGAGACAAGGAAAAAAGGTACGTTGTTTTCCCAAGGTATGCGACGAAATGTCGATAAGTCTATCGAAGCCATTATGTCGCAGTAACCGTTCTCTTTATTTGATATGGCCAGTTCTCGAGTGTAGACTGAATCGTGCATGTCCCAGCCACTGCAACGTAACTTGTATCATGACAACGAATCGGGGTGGCAATGAGACGTACAAAATCACACTGCAAAATCCAAACCCTTCTGAGGCAGCGGCACCCAGAAACTTATCTTTGGACTGCGAAGAACAAATCAAATACTGACGAGGACGGACTCAACAAGAAGCAATACCATGAATTTTCCTCTGAGGACGCCATCAACTTGAGATGGAAATCAGCATTCGACTTATTCAATGGTCGGAAGGCAGGGTGCACCATCTATGCCTGTAGGGTAACAAAAGTTGTGAACATCAAGTTATCACATTTTACAATCACAACCGACCTGCAACTTTAACCTTGACGTCGTTGTGAAGTAGTTGTTTCAGGTCATCGATTGACCTCGGAGCTCTTGGAGTGGCACTGGCAGTCGCCATATCTCAAGTGGTTGAGGTGATCGATTGTTCCAAGATTCTACTGCTCTGGAAAGCCGCTGGATGAGTCCAAGTTGCCGATGGCATGAGCGGTGCTGGTGCTAGTTCTTTAAAAGGAATTTTTTCTTCCAATGCGGACTTCGATCTCATGTCTGGCCTGGGCCAAACGATCACCCAAGGCTCAGCCGCTCAGCGCTCAGGCCTCAGGTACGGGCTTCCATCAAATTTCGTGCCGATACGATCATGCAGACTTACTTTGTACATACTACAGATGTCACGTTTGCGCATATAATCAAGAGACTCTGAAGATCAGAGGTTTGGGAGAAGTGTCATCCGTTGCAAGTATGTCGCACAATGCAGGTGGCCTCGGGGACGTGTAGGTCGCGTCCAATCGTCATGTACGTCTCGACGAGTTGAAATACTGTATATGTCTGACCAACTGTGTTTTCAACTTATACAGGCTCTACGTTTTACTATGGACACGGAAAAGATGTTCCTTACGAAGGCTGACACGACCTTGACGCGTTGGAACTTGGTGCCGACGATAACGACGTGCTAAAGGTAGAGTGCATGGCATTATTCTTCATATTTCCGACTAATCATAACCAGCCAGCTCTCCGAGTCGTTCAACCAAAAAAAACAGCCGACTTTTTTTTCTTTTTGCTCGGACTCTGGTATAGTCGGCGTCGTTGATCCCTCTACGAAACAAGTAAGAAGCATGAGAACAAGCACGACGAATTTCGGACATGGCCTTATCACTGTTCTATATGTTTATTTTTGGGGTACTGCAGTATCCGAAACCGCAAGCGACGTAGTAGGGTCAATCAAATTTGCTTTTTGCGTGTACAAACTCGTCTCAAAAACATTCGAGCCAATTGAAGAAGAAAAAAGCAAATCGAAATCATAAGCACGAGTCACACAGCGTAGACACAGCGAGAATCGGAATAAGACTGCGATCAGAATGGGCATGGGAAGTCAGAAAGGAACGCATGCAGAACATCCCGAATTCCCTTTCATCCTCATTGCAAGTTGATGCCAGAAGTCAACGGGACCTCATACTCGTTGCATGTTACCTGAGAGAACCGAAGCCTCTGACCGACTTTAGGGTTACCATACTAATGGACGAAAAGATGTCATCAGCGAAAAAACCCTTTGAAAAGCAGTAAGACTTACAAATGTCAGTCCGGGCTGGGGTTGAACGGGCCGAGAGGGTCGAAAGGGCCGGGAGTGTTCGGAGGGTAGACAGGTTGGTAAGGGCAGGCAGGGGTGGGAGGGTAAGCAGAGTTAGGAGGGTAGAAGGCGGCGTCAGCGTGTTGAGAACGCACGACAAAGCTTTGCGAGAGAGTTAGAGCAGTTATAAAAAAAAGGTCACATCATTGTGGATGGCACACTGAAGGAGTTGCACGCCGTGCATTAATTCTGTTGTTAGCACTTGACTTCTGTATAGGAGAGCTGGTGATTGGCATCGAAGCTCATGAATAATGATGCATGCAGCATCGAAGACTAGCTCCCCCGGTTCACCTGATGTTCTTACCATGCCCTGTGTGATTCTCGTTGACGGTAACCGGAAACTCAAGTTCTCTCTAAATTGACGAATCAGCGACAAAGAACAGAGGGGAAAATCACCTTAATTGCGCGCGGGCGTCGACTTCTTGATCGTCGTGATAATAAGATGAATTTCCGATCTGTCATCGACCCTGGATAGAAATTCGTGGGGCTGGTTAGAAACAACCCACTTGCTTGAGTCAGCGCAAAGAACGAGAACAACAGGTGATCTGGTAGCAAGATACACATAGATCGGATCAGAGTCAGACTCATGTACTGAAGACTGACTCAGAGCGAGTCACCAAAAACGTGCGCGAAATCGCAATTGTACGTCCATTGACAATCACTTACAATGTCTGTACCAGTGTCATTCGAACGACAGAAAGAAGTGAAACTTCTTTCGCGTCCCCATGACAGCTAATGATCTAATAGACAGCGAAGAAAGATCCTGGAGCCAGTACGTATACGCAGAAAGTGCGTGAATCATTTTCAATAAATGGAGTTACAATCACCCTTCGTTCGTTGCCAAAGTTGGGTCACCGAAGAGCACGCCGGCTATGAAACTCGGATCCTCCTAATTCAAATCAATAATAAGAGATAGGGAAGTATAAGATCACATGGGTGTTGACATGATGATCTCAACAGTCTTAAAGAGCTTGGAATTTCATTAGCTAGAACGGTAAGGCCTTGCAACGTATCACATTACCTAAATCTGTAGACAGATCGTTGATAATCGATTATTCCTGTGCGCGTGACGCTATAGATCAGTTAGAGACCCATCAAACAACCGCCATGAGTTTTAACAGAAGACGCGCGCATTCTTGAAAACCCGGGAACTTTCAGTAGCTGTAGCCGTGACGCCGTGCACGGTGAGTCATCTTTAAGCTTTAAGACGGGAAGGTGATCAGCTAGATTTGATCATGATACAGTCCGAGTCCACCACAATGTTCAAACATAACGTGACTTCAGCATATGTCGGAGTCTGAAACGGCTCCCGAGTAAGAATATTGTAATAGCCGCAAGGGTACAAAAGGTTGACACAAGGTATGTGTACAGTCCTGGCCACTACCTTTCAAATTCAGCTGATCATCTTCTCGTCTTCGCTCGAGAAGTTCTTAACTCTAATTGCTGTATCATAATCTTGAGTAACAGAAGCCCAGTCCGGCTCACGGCTACTGAAAGTTCCCGGAATTTTCATTCGAATGCGCACGCCTTCTGTTAAAACTTATGGGGCTTGTTTGATTGCTCTCGAACCAATCTAGCAATTCTGCTTATACCCGATGATGATCCCTCTGCATATTTAGGTAATGTGAAACTTTGGCAACGAACGTGGGGTGATTGACATTCCATTTATTGAAACATCATTCACGCACTCCCTGCGTATACCTATTGGCCCAGGATTTTTCTTGGCCGTCTATTAGACCATTAATTGTCATGGGATGCGACAGAAGTTTCAATCTGTCCGAATGGCGCTGGCACATACATTGTAAGATTTACGTTGTGATTGTGAGTGAAAATCTGATGTGGTCTATGTGTATCTTGCTACCAGATCGCCTTTTGTTCTCATTCTTTGCAGTGACTCACGCAAGTTGTTTCTGACCGACCCGACGAATTTCTATCCAGGGTTGATGACAGATTGGAAATCCATCTTATTATTACTACGATGAGCAAGAAGTCAACGCCGGTGCGCAATTAAGGTGGTTTTCCATCTGGTCTTTGTCGCTGATTCGTCGATTTAGAAAGAACTCGAGATGTTTCCGGTTACTGTCAACGAGAATCACACAGGGCATGGTAAGAACATCAGACGAACCGGGCGAGCTGGTTTCTTCGATGCTGCGTGCATCGTCATTAATCTTGAACGTTAAATCCGACGCCAATCGCTAGCTCTCCCGGCACACAGAGGTCAAGCGCTAGCAACAGTATAAATGCACGGCGTGCAACTTCTCTGGTGTGCCATCCGCTACAATGCAACTTTTTTTAATACCTGCTTTAGCTCTCTCACAGGCCTTTGTTGTGCTTTCTCAACATGCTGAGGCCGCTTTCCACGTTCCTTCTACCTGTGAGGAACGTGCTAGGCAAGCAGGTAGGTGTACAATTCTGCGTTCGAATCCATCTTCACCAACATGTTCAACTGATTCGTATCATCAGGCCTGCCAACTGATGGTTGGGAAATAGTTCCTGACAACAACGGTCAAATGGTGTGCCGTCAGACAGCCGTGCGTGAACTCTGTTACGGTGTTGAATATGTTGACGCAGTAAGTCCATACACATATTTTCTGAACTAATGCTAAATAACTGGCAGGACACCCATGAGAAGAAATGTGCTCAAGATGCGAGTGGTCTCACATGGATCGACAAGACTGCGCAGTTAGCCAAGGTATGCTTTCGATCTGACTTCTTATCAATCATGCTTATCGACATTTTGGGGCAGTGGTGCGCCAAGGATCACGTATGGACGTACGATAACGGAAGCGGTGCTAGGTATGGAGGGTGCTGCCCGGTTGGGTTTCACATGGACCGCGGGACGTGCATCTCAGACGCTCCTGAGCTTCCTACCCCTCCTACCCCTGCCTGCCCTTACCACCCTGCCTACCCTCCGAACCCTCCCGGCCCTTCCAACCCTCCTACCCCTCCTATCCCATTCCCTGGTCCTCAGGCATGTGGCAATGGACATGGCGGCGTTGAACCCTCTTGCACGTGCACGAACTATCCAGTCTGCGGGCGTGGCAAATACCTCGGCATCAAATATGGCCATTGCTATATCCTTTCCTTCTCCGATGGCGAGCAACTCGGCATCGACCGCGACCACACCGACTACAAGAAGAACGGCTTCTTCGTCGATATCCCATTCAAAGTCTGTAATTCGACCACCGATTGCTCGCGTGGAAAGGAGGTTGAGATGGGCCAGTCCTTCTCCCTCCAAGATCAGCATGGATTGTATAAAGACACGCAGTCGACGAAAGGGTGGATCAATGACGCCTCTGGTGGTAACCATATGGAATTCACCACTGATGCCAGCCATGCTGGTAAATTTACGGGAATCCCTACTTGTACTAGCGGTGAATGCGCTATTCAACTATATGGTGGTCCCTCTGGCGGTGCATTGGCATATGCCTGCCCGATGCCCCAGCCCGGACTGACATTTGTAAGTCTGACTGCTTTTCAAAGGGTTTTTTTTCGCTAAAGACATCTTTTCGTCCATCAGTATGGCAACCCTAAAGTCGGTCAGAAGCTTCGCTTCTCTGAGGTGTCGTGCGACGAGTATGAGGTCCCTTTGACTTCTGGCATCAACCTACAGTGAGGATGAAAAGGAATTCGGAACGTTCGGCAGGCTTCCATTCTGATTGCAACCTTTTCCGATTCTCGCTATGTTTACATTGTACGACTCATGCTTATGTTTTCCATTTTGCCACACTTTCTTCTCGTTCAATCTGACTCGAATATTTTTTGAAACGTCTGTCTGTTCGTTGTATGTACACGCAAATAGCAAAGTCTGATTGACCCTCGTCACTCGTGGTTTCGATCGATATGAAGTACATTCTAATCTATCACGTTCTTGACTCAGAGGTCAAGGCTCGGTCACCTCGGGCTCCGATCCGACGAATATGCAAGTATTTGATAGGAATGTCTGCAAACCAGAGATATTCACGTGTTGGTCGTCATGCCAGAGATGGAGGTGCATGCGCGTAGCGATGATCGCAAGGATACAGACTTCCAAACTGTATTTTGGAGGTTTCGTCAGTATTGGAAATTTGTAGCAGGAGTTTGAGGTCCGTACTCTTCAAAGGAGTGAAATAAGGACTGGGCGTGCGTAACATCAATGGCTCGATCATATTGAAGGATATTGCGAGATTTACGCACATCGGAAAACATCAACGGTATGAGCACATTCATGGCCGAGAGAACTTTGGGAACAACAATCATCACTGATGGGTATGGAAATATGAAGTCCTGACTCACGGAGACCGCATGCATAGTAGAATATGTTATGCTTTACCAGGATAGAGTACAGATGCCCCCTGGCTGTACGCCAGCTCTGTATGACATGTATGAGTGTGAGGGAGAACAGTCCTGAGGAGAGTCAGTACGTATATGTAATTGATGTTTCCAGTTCCCGGCGACATACCCACTTGAGATATAAGCAAGAGAACAAATGACATGGAATACCAGACACCGCCCAAGACCCAGTAACAGCCTGTGATGCCTGGGATCACGCTGGTGACGACTATTCCAGAGAAGTCAATATGTGCGAATAGTAGTGGGGAAGGCCCATGAGAGCACAGACCATATGAGAGGGCTAGTGCCGCAAAACGAAGGCCGGTGGATATTGCAATAATAGCCTGGCTGATGGATCAACATTGTTCAGGTGTGGTCGAGGTATGAAACTCACAAGAACAGTGGTTAGCATGACTGCGCGTAAGATCCGATTGTTGTTCCAAAGCGCACATGTTCTGAGCACAAAAATGCCTGAAGGATTAGGATGAGGAGCATGTGCATGTCGTAGGAGAAGGACAGATACATTCGGAGCAAGTGAGTGATATCAGTCCAAAACCTGCGAGAGCAAAGAGTGGCGCTTAGCCAGGAAGTACAGCCATTGATCAAGTACCGTGCACGTACATGAGTAAATATTGATTAGCACCCTGCATTTCTGGCGAAGTCATACAGTTACTAAGTACCACTCATCAGTGGGTAAATCCAACTGCGGGCTCACATACATTGGGGTTCTCGACCGGTGCGAAGGTCACTGAAGCACAGAATTTTAGTTCATTATCGGGGGCATGTGTGCTCGTTTGGAATGAACGCACTATATAGGCCCATAGTCATGGAGAAAAAGGGGACATATCGTGCAAATATATAAATGACTTTTACCCTAGTCCAGCGCGACTGACGCAGGAATGTCCACTTTGAACAACATATTATCAATATACCAGGCGAGGCGTATCGCGGAACAACTGTATTGCTCACCTCTTCGTGAAGACAACAAACATAATCATAGGTCTAGATAAACAGGTTTAACTCGACGGACAGGAATAAATTGGGACCTACCCAAAATGTAGCCTGGGCCACTGAGTTGTCAAGTTAGAACGAGAAAGAAGTAGATAAGACCACACGCACTGCGTATGTACTGGTAGCCGCACATGATATGGGTATCTGTTATCGTTTCGCCCTGGTATTAAGAAAGCGACGCACCGCTAAGTAATGCAGACCCCAGGCAGCTGTAATTTGGACATCGTCAGCCGAAGGTTCCATCTGCTTTGGATTGAGAGGTAGCTATAGTAGAATTTTGCACACATCATGCTACAGTTTTGTCTCTTATGAATGAGCTAGACACCTGCCGAGATGCGGGCGGGCGCCGCCCGCCCTGACATGAACAGGTGTAAATGACATAGACTAAGAACACAGTTCCGATTAGCTCAATGATGATGGCGATGCAATGTTTCACTGGCTGATTTGTGTAAAGTCGACTGCGCAGGACCGGTACTAAGTTGATAGAAAGTTAGTACAGTCGTCAGCATCTGTGGCCCATAAAGTTGAAACATGTGCTCATTATTGCATGTGGGTCCTTCATTCCTGCTTTCGAAAGGCTTGAAGTTAGTTTGAAACACCCCGGCCATCGGTGGCGGCGGCCCTATACTCAGTCCGTGAAACACTTAGATTCAGGGACTTACGTGTAAGTTTCTACAAAGAAGTTTTCATGATCAACCCGGCCGTTTCCGACGTACGCTTTTTCAAACTGAAATTCGCCATCCACCAACACCATCACCAGAACAACCGCCTCCTTGTGAGTGCATTGCTTGATAAAACAGAGCGTCCTGGAATCTCGACACAGACATCTCAGTGGCCCTCCCCTCCAGCACGACGAGAGAGTGGAATGTGCAACCCTTTCTGCTGATGGAACAGTTGGAACAACGCTAGTCACTGCTAGTGACAAAGATCTATGCGTATGGCTATCCTCAAAAGGGTGACCTTGAAGACCTATTTTCCATTCACAATATGAGTTGAACTTTTCAATAGAGAGTCGAGACCACTTTAGCTGAACCTGCCACTCGCAGGTCGCAGATGAAAAGTCGCTTATCCCGCCAGCTTTTTTGTACATAACTAGTACAAGTGCTGAATATTCTACGACATGAAAGACTCAGCTCAGCTTGAGGATCCCCGTCCAATCGACGATACCAGATAGTGTTCAAGTGTGTCGCCATCTCACTACTTCCTATTCTGACCTCAAAACTCTTGGTCCTCCGTGACACGTCACGACGTCTGAATAACGACGAGACACCGCAACTCCAACGACCTTCAAGGCAAAAGTTATTTCGCATCATGGCCGTAGTCTCGTAGGAGTTGCGCCAGTGAGGGGAAAAGGACTTTCTTGTGCATCTTCCACTCGCTGCGATCCGATGATATCTCTGCAAGCATTATATATTGCTCCACGACCTACTAAGCGAGGCCAGCCGCGGCATGCCCAGACAGCCTCTACATTCACACCACCTCATGCTACCGCAACCCCAGTGTAGCAGCCGCGTAGTCACGTCCCATAATCTATGATCGACAAACCCACACGGTAGACTGGATTCATAGAGACGTGGCACACCGACTACTATTTTCACTTTTCATCCTAGTTCTTTCATTTGTGTTCTTGGCTCATCGTAGATATCATTCGCTATGCCATCAACACCTTCCACGTGCGATTCGATTGTTGTTCCAAAGCGCACATGTTCTGAGCACTCAAAAGCCTCAAGAAATCACATCAGGAGCATGTGCACGTCGTAGTAGAAGAAGGACAGATGCATTCAGAGCAAGTGGCCAGGAAGTGCAGCCATTGGACAAGTACCGTGCACGTACACGAGTGAATATTGATCAACATCCCATATTTCTGGCGAAGTCATGCAGTTACTAAGTATCATTCATCAGTGGGTAAATCCAACTGCACGCTCACATGCATTAGGATTCTCGTCCGGTGCGAAGGTCACTGAAGCACAGCAGTTCAGTTCATTATCGGGGGCATGCGTCGTTTGCAATGAACGCACTATATATGCCCATAGTCATGGAGAAAAAGGGGACATATCGTGTAAATATATAAAGGGCTTTTACCTTAGTCCAGCACGATTGGAGCAGGAATGTCCACTTTGAACAAGATATTATCAATATCCAAAGCGAGGCGTATTGCAGAACTGCATTGCTTACCTCTTCGTGAATCAAACAAACATAATCATAGGTCTGGATAAACAGCTTTCACTCCACAGACAATAGAGTGGGACTAGCCTACCAGAGTGTAGCCAGCGCCACTGAGTTGTTAAGTTAAAACGAGGGAGAAACAGTTCAGACCACACGCACTGTATATGCACTGCCAGTAGCGGCACGTGATATGGGTATCCGCTTTGCCCTCGTATGAAGACAGAGACGCACCACTGAGTAATGCAGACTCCAGTTTGCTGCAACTTGGACATCGTCAGCCAAAGGATCCATCTGCTTTGATTGAGAGGTAGAATAAATGGGTTTCGCACACATATTATGCAACATTCTTATCTCTTATGAACGAGCTAGAAACCCATCAAGATGCAAGTGTAAATATTTGGAACACCAAATATTCTGCTTAGCTTAGTGATGATCACGATGGAGCGTTTCACTGGCTGATTTATGTGAAGTCGACCACGCAGGATGGGTGTTGATAAAAAGGTACGGTTCAATAATTTGTCGCTGTGTGTAGCCAAAGTGAATACTGTATGATTAGATCCGAACATGAAGTCGAAACGTGTGCTCAACTTGAATATCCTTGATTCTTGCTTTTGAAAGGCTTAGAGTTTGAAACATCATCAGTCCTTGAAACATGCAGCCACCTCGAATCCGAGGGACTTACGTTCAACCGAATGACCGGCCATCTCCGACGTACGCTTTTTCAAACATGAGATGGCTGTGATACGCGCACGATCCTGATATGAAAGCAGACTGAAGGAAACTAACACGTTCTTGTCCATCGAAATTTATAAGGGGGCAGATGTGGTAATTGGGAATGGAGTTTCAGAATGAAGAACGAAAATGGTTGAACGTTCAAAGGGCTTCAGAGCTTCAACATGTTTTCGAATCTACCTCTGATTTTGTGAAGCCGCGTCACATGCCCAGTGACATCGTCCACTATAAGACTTTGCTTCCGATGATTCAAACACTTTGCGGTATCGAACCATAATATTCCTCGCTATTTGTTTGACTCGGATTGAGAGGATGGAGTCTTCGAAAGAGATGAACATGGCTATCATGATGAGGAAGGAATATTTATGATGCGCCAGAAGATCAACCTCAGCTGCGAGATGCAACCCTTGAGCTTAAATTAAAGCTTTGAAGCTTGACGGGGAGGTAAAATAATATGACATCGTGTGTTTCGGTCACAAGTTGTTTACTCACGCGTGTCATTCAAAAACAACCAACAAGTTAACCGTGATCACATAAGTTGTTTGTGAGCGCTTGAGCCCCTTTGAGCCCCCACGATTCTTGACTTGGGGCATGTGCTCGCTTCGTAAGACTGAGTCACCATTGTACGCAGTAATTCACTCCGGAGTCACCGATCCATCCCAAATCCATCCTCCGGGTTAAAGCAAGTTTAGGTTTAGCGGTCTAGAGTGTAGACAGTTTGTCACTGATGTTATAGTGCTGCGGGATCAGACGTGTCAGGAAATAAAGACTTGCTGAAAGTGTGTCGTCTTTGAATTCAAATTTGCATAAAGTGGTGGTCTGTATCTGTCAGGTCGTCTTCTCACACTGTGTCATGCATGTTGTGTCTAAGCGAAGAAGTAGCGACAGGAACCATGAAACGGTAGTACCAACTTGAAGTACTTACAGTTCTGTGGATAAACACATTCAAATTTGAGAATCTTGGTCCAGAAACTGCTCTAAAGCAACGCCTCTATGCTCATGCTGACGTTCATACCCTGCAATTATCCAGATTGAAGACCATGAGATCCTCTGCGCCAATCTTCACTAGTTGGTCCATGACATTCGCAATGTTCTTCTTCTCAACCATACTACTGATCGCAACCCAACCTTCCTCTTCGAGAGGACTGATGGTGGGTGCTCTTCTTCCAGGCGTAATAGCTGCTGCCTGAGGTATCGATTGCCTGGGAATGTTATATTCGCAGATAACATATTTCGCAGCAGCTAGGACTCCAGCTATTCGGCTTGCCATGAGATCGATCAGAGGTGCATGATGGGCACGATGGGGAGCGTTCGATCTTATGAGTACTGCCTCAGTTTGAAGTACTGTCGCAATGGCGTGCAGACCGGCTGCTCGCATCGTATCTCCAGATTCTAAGACATTGTTAGATCTTCCTACGCCTGGCCTGGGACGATGACATACCGACAAGATCGACTATTCAATAACCAAGATGTGAGCATCATCGCAATCTGTCATTCTAACGCGCGACTTACCTATACCATCCGCGAGTCCAAGAGCACAGGCTGCTTCTACACTCCCGCCTACATACTGGATCTTGGTTTTGTTATCACCAGTGAGGTTCAATCGCTCATCGATCTCAGCAAAATATGCCCCCGCGATAACATCAAAACTTGTAACCACGCGTTTTCCGGCAAGATCTTCGACCGATTTGATTGGCCCATTTTCTGGAGTTTGCACTTGCAAAGCGCATTTTCCGAACCCCAGCCGATGAATCTCCGTTATCTGATCTTGCATTCTAGCCTCAAGGATGACATCGTGGCCTGTTATGCCAAGGTCAACGTCTCCATTTGCGACAAATGATGGTATGTCTGCTGCTGGAAGGAATACGCTGCATCAGAGTCAGATTCGGTTAGATGTAGAATCGGAACCGGAATTTTACAGAGCCATGGGGTGATTCATCACTAGGCAGACGTCAAGCCTGTTGTGTCTCCGGAATTGGATGTCGGCGCCTGTAGGTTGGTTTGCATATCACTCAGGTATTAAAGGAGGAACACACCGGAGAGTAACTCGAGACATTTTTCATGCAGCCGCCCTAGGGTGGGTTAGTACTACTGACGAACTGTAATCAAGATGAAATTGACCTTTTTTTGGAATTGCGAACAGCAGTCGGCCATCAAGCAGGTCCTTGTCTGATTTTTTGTCAGCTAGAATGATATCCAGTGCGCAGAAGACTACTTACTCATATTGAGCTGTACCAAGCTGCAAGATCTGCGATCGTTCGAGTCAAGGTTTACGCAAACAACCCCGCTTTACCAAAAACAGCGGGTAGTATTGTGGGAAAATATAATTAAACTGCCTACTTACGCGGCCTGGGAGTCAGACTGGACCTGACCGTCTCTATTAACTCTCTTGACCACCAACTCAAGCTTGCCCACTTTCTAAATGACCATACCTGACATGGACTCAGTCTCTCATCCTCAGGAGAGGCGCTTCAACCCTTACACAGAAAATGGTGGT